TCACATGAGTAACTGAGTACTCACTGAGTAACAATACTCAGAAATTGTTAGTAGTACCAATATGAGTACTCATGGACGAATTATGAGTAAAGTCGTACTCATCGTATGAGTACTTTCACTAGGGTGAGAGCTACTAACTAAGTTCTTTTCATATAGGTGATCATTCAAGCGAGAAAAGTTTATCCGCATTTGATTAAGAATCATGTCATATTTTCTTTCAATGTTTTCGAATCTCGGCCATTTATAGCAAGGGAAAAAATAATCGTTAGGTAAGGCATTCCATTGCTTAATTGTCCATGGAAAAAATGTAATTTCGAGCTTAACTTTATGGGTCCAGTATGCGTTTGTTAGAAGCAGATCGCAAGGTCATAGTTGTTGTTGCTACTGATCTTGGTATTCTATCAGCTAGAAAAAGTGGAGTAAGGCCTCTAAATATTTTGAATAATAATCAAGTTTTGTGCGTCGCAAATAGATGTTCAAATGATAGCCATCCTCGTATGCCGAAGACTTTATCTCGCGAATTGAGACGCATAGTACCACTAACAGTCAGAGCAGCAGCGTACTGTAGTTTTGCAATTGGTTTTAAATAAGTTAATACATTGGGCAAAGGGGTATTTGCAGTCTGAATCTCTTTCGCACAGGATCACATCTGCATAACTTATGTTCTTGTTCTATTGTGTAAAACCACAAAGTACTAGAGAAAACATAAGTTCGACTCTCTGCGCGTGAAAAAGGATGAAGTTAGATCATGAAAATGGGTTTCCGTTTTTTTCCGCATTTTGGATTTTTTATTCCGTATTTCTGACCTGAATATTTGGCAACTGTGAATGAGATAAAACATCTCATACTCATAATCTCTTTTGTCCTTATTACAACTTGTAGTACGCTTACTGTTAACCCGTGGACAGTTCCCCATGTAAAAATAAAAGGAGAAATATTCACTTACGAGTATTTTGTCATTAAAACAAGTTGACATATCACCGATAAAAAAAAATTAAAGTTTGTTTAGAGTTAAAGAAAAGTAGTTTTTCGTATACAGCACACTTGATTACCTGGAAAATTTTCTATTTTTAGCGAGGGTACTGCCAAAAAGTTAAGAAAAATTTTCAAACAAATTGACGCAGAAAAATCTCCATGGTAAAACTATACAATTTCGAAAATTTTTCTTAACTTTTTGGCGGTACCTCTCGCTAAAAATAGAAAATTTTCCAGGTTATCAAGTATGCTGAATACGAAAAGGCACTTTTCTTTAACTCTAAACAAACTTTAATTTATTGTCGGTGATATGATAAAGTAACTTTCTTGAAAGAAAGTGACTTATAAGTGAATTTTTGCAAGCACAAATTGAGGACAGAAGATAATCGTAGATCAGTCAGTCATATTGTGAAACTAATTTATAAAGAGCTTGACTAAAACAAACACAGACAGCAGCGAATCATCAACAAAATTTGGCATAGAGAATGATCGTTATAGTCTAAGCACTTTTCATTCAAGTATTAAATTCATTGCTACTTGTATTTTGTCTTTTTTTATGTTTAAGATGTCTAGCGGTCCTCTCGAATCGGCGTACGGTACATTTGTTAGGAGAGATCAACATGAAATAAGTATTACACCGGTTGAAACAGTCACTGTTATTCCTCAACATTTTATCACTTATAAGCGACGATGGCTCTATTTATTTGTCATCTGTTTGGCAAATTTATCAAATGCCATCGTAGGTTTTGTTTATTAACATTTTCAGCGTGAATGTCATAGTCTATCGTATTTCTTGTTTTAGCTTTGGATTAATTTTGCTTCCATCGCTGACTTTACTGCCCAATATTATTCTGTCAGCTATACATCTGTCAATTGGTTATCATTAATATTCATGGTAGTTTGCACGATATTTACACTTTTATCAACATGGAAAATTGATCGATTTGGAATACGTTTTGGTGTAAGTGAATTAAAAAGTACGTGTGTGTAATGATTGAAATTTCTTTTTAAAACATATTGCTAAGCAAAATAATTGAATAATGAATGGTGGATTAATGATGAAAAAAAAAATTGTACTACAACAAAATTACATTTATTTTTTGTAGATATTAACTGGTATTTGGCTTAATTTAGTCGGTAGTTTTATTCGATGTATCAGTACATGGGGATTTGTTGGTATGAAAGCTAAATATCCAGTCGTTTTCATAGGTAAGAAGTCATAGAGTATTAAAAAGATATTACAAACTCCAAGAAAAGGAGAAATCGTTTTGTATTGAATCCATCTACCTTGGGATAATAAAAAGTCAAACTTAGATTAGTTATATAAAGAATGGTAGTGATGAATGTTATTTTTTTAGGTCAATTTGTTTGTGCTTATGCTCAAACATTTATCTTGTTTATTCCTACCAAATTTGCCTTTATTTGGTTTCCAGGTAATTTCGAGTAGCGATCTCGTGTTTAATGTTACATTATTGTTTTGTTTTTCAGATAGTCAAAGAACATTAGCCAATAGTTTATGTTTTGCAAGTATGTATGAATTGCAGTAGAAGCATGCACAATTTTGATAATAAATTTTTCTTTTCTTTTTTTTTTCAGTGAATTATTTTGGTATATTTCTTGGCACAGTTTTGCCACCATTCATAGTGGATCATGCAAATAAAATGCCATTATTGGTAAATATTAAAAACAGTGTAATGAGTGGAAAGCCACAAGCATGAGGAAAACAGAAACATTTTCTTGATATTTGAGATAATAAACAATTATTTATAATGTTTTATCTAAGTCCTCTGTTTTAGTTATATGTATCCTTGGCTCCAGCATTATTAGCGGCGGTCTTATCATTGACGATTCGATCGGGTGAACCTCCGACACCATCGTGTCTCTCGTCAACCGATGTTAAAGTACCTTACAAACTAGTATTTAGAAAGGTAACTTTTTCGTCATTGTTGTTTAGTTTTTAATAAACATAATAAATATTCACAATATTTGCTACAAAATAATGGCTGATCATTTTCTGACAAAAAGTATATACTTTTTTATTTTAGTTATTAAAATCAAAATCGTATTTAATATTATTCGGTACAGTTGGTCTTGGTTTAAGTAATAATAACACGTTATCGACGTTACTTCAACAAATAATGTGTCCATTTGGGTATGATGATATTAGCGTTGGTTTATGTATTGGATCATTTATTCTATGCGGATTAACTGGATGTATTATATTTGGCTACATTGCCGATAGAACAAAAAAATTAGAAGAAGTTACCAAAATAGAATATACACTTGGTGTGGTATCATTGATGATACTTGGTCTTGTAAATTTGGTAGTGTACTTGTGGCATGCCCTACTTAATGTATTGCTTATTTTAGTTTATTATTAATGGAGTTCCATCCTATTTATTATATATTATATTTGGTTTATCAGGTTTTGCAATGGCGCCCGTTCTACCATTAAGTTTGGATTTATGTCTTGAATGGTGAGTAGTTTAAACCTGTTGTCAATAGTTATTTGTTTTGTTTTTCGTTTCTTCTTTTAGTACACATCCAATACCTGAAGGTAAGTGAACGTGCTTACTAATTTTATTAGACTTGACGTTGATTTGATTTTTATATATTTCATTTTTCAGCAACCGTGGTCGGGATATTTTTGATTGCTAGGTATTAGCCAGCTTACGATTCTGTAAGCTTATATAACTTATTTTCTTGTTGTTGTTTTTAGTCAAATCGGCAGTATCATTTCAATATTAATTTTACCCTTTTTTACGCGAAGCTTATCCTCTTTTCAAGAAGCACATCAGAAATGTGCATCATTACATCAAGAAATTCGAGATTATACTAGTAAGGTAGTTTCAACTATTTATTGACAAATTGAACTATACGCAACTTTATTTCTAGTTCCATTATACATCTTAGCAATTATTTCTGCTGTTTTTGTGATATTATTTATTATATTTTTCAAAAGTGAAAATCGTCGACAACGAAAAGATGATGAATCATCCTCACACACAACTGCACTTAATAATAATGAATAAGTTTAGATTTTTTTTTCTACTATTTTCATATCTCTCTATGCATTTGCTAATAATTTATTTTTTATTTTTATGCCATTTACATTCCGATTTATATTTTTGAGATACGAATTTGTGGTTTTTCTTGAACAAAATTGATTGTTAGTATAAAAAAATGATTTCAAGTCATCTGCTATACGAGTAGCTATGAAAGAATTAATAGCCAGGGAATTAATTTTAAAATTATGCTAATGGTAAGATGTTGGATCGTGATCGATAAACACACTGAGACAAAGCTTCACTGTTAGATATTTTGTCGACAATAGTTAAATAAAAGTGTTTGATTAGCTTAAAACGTCGGACTCAACAGAAGATAACACTAATATAATTCAACGCATACATTTTTTCATTTAACGCATAGAAATACATCGAATGGAGAAAATGAAGTGCGAAAGTGTGAAGGATCTCATTTCCAAGCGAGATTTGGGCATGAAACAGTTTCGGTTAATCGAGATCGATCATAACCGATGACGAATATAACAACAAAAACTGTTTTATTTGCACATATTCTTGAAAATACATCTGAAACAGTATGAAGAAAACATCTGAGAGTGTTCATGCTAGAAAAGAAGCTGTTCACCGTCGCATGATGGTCATTTTTTGTACTTGACATTTTCCAAGGAAATTTAAGAAAAAAAGTTACTTGAAGGTTATAATTTTTTAGTGGAAAATTTCACGTTATCTGAAATAACCTTTTCGCATAGCCGTCGCATGATGGTCATTTTTTGTACTTGACATTTTCCGAGAAAAGGACCCTGCCGGTTTTCAAAAGTATGTCGAAGCAGAAAGCTATATATAAGGTTTTACAGAGCTTATCGCGACGGATCTAAATCTGTATTGGGTTTGGGTTAATACCTTCTGATTACCGAGATGTGGGTGTCACCATGTTCTTGGTCTTTAATCGGTATTGACGTAAGAGGAAGAGTGGGTAGAGATTTGGTAATGTAGTACAATGAGATATTGCCTTACCCATATTCTTGTAAAGCAATGAAAACTGTACAAACTAGTTCGGTAATAGTAAATAGAGGCTAGTTCTAGGAAAAATGGGTCATTTATGAAAAAAAATCGATCATACCCATATCACACGTGCGCAGTAAAATAACTGTGAAACCCAAACGATATGCAGAAACAAATTCTAATTTTGTCGAAAACTGTATGAGTACGAGCTCTATCTGCCACGTTCATGTCGAGGTCTGAAATTCATCTGCGTCTATGGGAAAAAAATCTTTACTGAAAAAAAGTATACCGCAATAGGGTATATTTTGGACTTAAACTTGTTTTTTTCTGGTCTGATTTACTTATCAGCCAGTTTTAACGCCATATTCGTAATCTACGAACAAAATTGAGTCGGGCGGAATATTATACATATGGTCAAAACACAAAAAAGCTTTTTTGGGGACAAGAAACCCTAAGGAGGATGTTGACGGAGCCTGTCTCTCGAAAAACACACATTTACCGACCGAGTCACATGTAGTTTTATAGAGTGTTGAATTCTGAACAAAATGCACCCTTTAGATTCAGCTTATGTTACACAAAGGAAAAGTGTTTATTTTACATATAGTATACAGGACGATATTGAACGTCGAAAGGTCATTAACCAGAAAATCTTGCCAAAAAGGGACACACGTTTCCAATTATACACAATTAGATAGCCCGTGAAATTCTCTACAAAC